GTTAACGTTACGTTACGTTACGTTAGTTACGTACGTACGTAGTTAGTAGTACGTAGTAGTAGTGTAGTAGTAGTAGTAGTAGTAGTAGAGAGAGAGAGAGAGAGAGAGAGAGAGAGAGAGAGACTCCTAAAATAAGTAACTCCCCATCTGTAAAGAGAATGTGAGAGTGAGGTGATGCACATTAATTGGGAGAGAGATTTATGAAGAGATTAAAGGATCAATATGATATAAATTAAAATCAGGAGGGCTAATTTGGAATTTTAAGGGACTCTTGTCAAAATAATAAGGGGGGACCTCCTCTTACTTAATATATCATCATCATCATCAAAGCCTTTTCCCAATTAATTGGAATTGACCTCTCGCTTAATATATAATAAATAGATAAATTAGTCCAGTTTATCTTCAAATATTGTTACTTGTGGGCATTTCTGGCATTCCAGTGAAGCGTGTTTGAGGTGGGCACTTGGGCTTGAGGCAAGATCCTAGGTGGTGATGCTTGTAGCCATAGTTATCAAGCTTCGACCTACTGCCCAATCAAATGGGCAAACTGCCAACTGGTGCCTTGGCCTGTTTGGTCTAAAGCAAAAAGCGAGATTGATCGAAAATTAGTCAAAACTAATGTTTGACCAGTTTTGGTCGATTGGACCGGCCACTTAATACTTGGTCAGATCGGTTAAATAAAGCTACGCATTTTTCTTTGTAATATATTTTTTATTTTAAAACTATCACTCATCTTTTTTCTTTAATTTTTGAAAATCTGCTCCAACTACTTTGACAATGGTCGAGCTAGTTTTGACTAGACCAAATCCCTCACTGGTTTGGTTGGCAAGTTCGATCCTAATACCACTACTTGCATCTTTTTAAAACACTATTGGATGATGCACAATTTTTCCTCCTCTCACCCTAGTTCTCACTTTTAGGGCTTTGAACTTGTATGGGGTGGAATCAATCCATAGCTCATTATCCCTAAGACCAGTGTCTTAAAAATTGATATCGGATCCCTACTCATTTCGTTGTTCAACATGAGCAATTCCCGAGCTGGATTGAACTATACTAAACAAAAAAACTACAAAACAAAAAGAAAAAAGCTGGAGAATCGGGCCGATTCATGGTTTCTTTGAATAGAAATTGCCTAGGTTATGATACCTATCTAACTTGGGCAATTACTTGTAGGATCAACTATTTTTAGTCACTGCTTAGAACAAAGTTGATAAAGAGATTGATCAAAATGATTATCAAAGAGCTTGTGTCCATTCAACCGCACAACGCTTCCTTCTCCCATGTGGTCTCCTCTGCTCCTCCCTCTTCTGGCCCGGCTGGCTTTCCTAAACTGCTCGAAAAATCCTCCCCCTCCTTTTGCCCCTCCCCTTTTCTCCCTTGCATCATCTCTACCCCCTCTGCTGTCTCCGCCCAACTTAAGATTACACTAGTCACTTCTTTGGTGGCCAGTTTCCAGCCCAGACACGACGATGAGAGAGTCATTGAACGGTGGGCAAAACACACTTGGGGAGATCCTTCTCTCACCTGTAGACGCATTCGACTGCTGCTGGAGGTGCTGGATTCCATCCTTATCCCTTCTTACATTTGGCTGGAAGTCGATTCTCTTTTTTTTTGCGTTTCTCTTCTTTGGGTCGAAGCGTCGCCTCCTTCCGCCTCTTTCTTCAATCAGTCGGCTCCCCCCCCCTCCGTCTGATCCTTCTCCCTGGACCACTGTGGTGTGCAAGAACCTTCGACCTAGGAGGCATTCCTGGCGGGTCGTAACTCCTCCTCCGAACCTCTCGGTACGGTCCCGGAGCTTAGCTCCCAAACCTCCTCCTTCGGTCTCCTAGCAACCTAGATGTCTGCCTCGGGAACGGCCATGCTACAGCCCTGTTCTCACTTACCCTGCCCACTAGGCTACAAGTGTCCTCTGGTCAGGACTGGAGTCGGTGGTTGATAGAGCGCTTCCCCCGACATGCCCCCCTTCAGATGTCGATCCCGCGTGGGCCTCCACCCCCCCTCGTCGACCTGGTAAAGAACGTCTTCTTGGTTTTCTGCCTGTCCAGCCTGCCTCTTTGTCGGGTCCCTCCCTCGATCCCGGCCTTCCTCTTCATCTGTTTCCTTCCCTGTCTGCCACGTACACTGGTGAGCCACCTTTTTTGGGCCTCACATTAAATCCCCTTTCCCCCTCTCTCTCTCCTCGTGCCACGTCCCTTGGCCCCGTTGGTACGCCCTCTGACCCCTCTCTCCTCTCTGGTGCCACGTCTCTTGTCGTGCTGCCCCCAGCCAGCCTTCCGTCACACCAGCCTTTGTCCCTCTGCCTGCAAATCGTCCCCCGAGATCCTGCCCTTCTTTACCTTCCTCCCTTTTCCCGCCTCCTGCTGTGCCCCCTTTTCCCTCTCTGCCTCCTGTGTCTGCCCCCTCACCTACCTCCTTGCCCTCTGGCCTCCTCTCTTTCTCTCCTTCTGCTGCTCCTTCGTCTAAGGGGACACCACGGCCTTCTTCCGTTCCCTCCGCCTCCTCCCTGTCACCTTCTCTCCGCCTCCTTCTTTTTAGGTCTGGCACCTTTCTGGCCTCGGTCTCCCTTTCCTCTCTCCCCCTTCTTTCTGCCCTGTCTTCTCCCCTCTCCCCCTAGATGGACCGCACCCCTTTTCCCTCTGGCTTTGCCTCCTCGCCGGCTTCGGACCCCTCTTCCCCTACCCCTGTTTTCACTCCTCTGGCCCCTTTCTCGTCTTCCCCCCCCTTTCTGATCCGGTCTACCATGATTCATTCCTCTCACCGTTGCGTCGGGCCTTTCTGCCTGTCCCACCTCTCTTCTTTCCCAGTCCCTCTTCCTCACGTACCCTGCCTCCCCCTATCTCTCTTACCCCTTTCCCCTCCTTGTCCCTTCCCCTCTTGTTGTTTCCTCACCCCCTCTCCCTTCCCCCGGGGACTTGGACACTCCTCCTTTGGCTTTTTTGTCTCCTCTCCCTTCTCCCCCTCCATCTCCTCCCTTGTTGCAACCTGATCCCTCTCTGGATCAGTCCTGCCTTCTCCCCCTCCTCACTACCCCTCATCCTCCTTTTTTTCTGTTCCGTCCCTTCCTTCAGACCTCTACCCGTCCCCTTCTCCTCCCACCCTTTCTTCAGAGTTGGTTTCAGACTCGCAAGACGACCTTGGTTCGCCCGTCTCTCCTCGCTCGGCGAGTGATCATGACGAGGGAGTCGACGGGGACGGG